TCAAACAACTTTTTATTAAATCTTTTTTTTTTTTTTTTTTATTTATTTTCTGTTTTTAAAAAATCTGGTATTACAGACGCTATTGCAGTGACGTATGTATTGTAAGAAAGCATAAAATAGCAATGTATATAGCAATATAAAAAGCAAAATTATAGGACTAATTTAGGGTTATCTATATTTACAGTTCTACTAAATTTTCAAAAATTATATATTTTTTTTTATATTCAATGTTAGTTTTTCAATAATAATTATTTTAGGAGTTTTTTATTACCTTAAAGGACCTCAGATTTTAAGTAAAACTGTGCATATTCTTCCCTACTTATTTATAAAATAAATTATACTATATTTAACTTTAAAATAGAACTCAAAAATTATTGGCTTCCACACCGAAGTTTAAAGTAATTAAAACTTGAAATTGCTTTATGCTGAATGAAAAAGAGCAAATAAGCTCGTACTTCTAACTTAAAGTTAAAGTTAGTGCGACTTTAACTTTAAATTAGAAGTACAAAAAAGCAGTTGCAATTTGTGGTACGCTTAATGCAAGCCCTGATATAAATAATAATTATTGCTAGCTTTTTTGAAAAACATTTTTTAACTTAATGCTATAGTTAAAGTGTTCTTTAACAATAGCATTAAGTTAATTTTGTGTATCTCATGCTATTTCCATCATGCCATGCTATTCCAAATTTATGTTGTGTCATTTCTTTGTCATGTCATGTAATTTTTAATTGATGTCATGTAAATTCTGTCTTGTCGTTTCTATGCCATTTTTAAGTCGTGCCATGTTATTTTTGTCATCTCATTTTATTTCAATGTCACCATTTCATACCATGTTATTCCCACCATTTCATGCCACTCTTATGTCATGTCATGTAATTCCAGTCCTGTCATGTTATGTTATTATTTATTTCATATCATGACATTCTTATTCCATGTCATGCTATTACTATGTCAAGCCATATCATTCTTATGTCAAGGTAATGTACAAAAACCTTTAAAATGTGCAAAAGTTCACAAAGAAAGAGGATACATGAGAAAGAGAAAGAGATGAAGGTGAAGATACTCATAAATTAAATTTGCTTGTACATGAACAAATTCACATAGTGAATATTTGTTTGTTATATATATAACAAATATATAAATATTTATATGTAATATGAATTATGAATATAAAACAAACATAATATATATTAACAGATATAATTTTTTTTTTTAATAAAAAAAAAATTATATCTGTTATTATATATTATGTTTTTAAAAAAAAGTTATATCTTTTTCAAATCAAATATGTTACTTACGAAGTGCACCATCTTCAAACTTTATAGTCATACTATAAACAGCTGCTAAGCATTTAGCTTCATCAGTAGTACCAATTCTAAAATATTAAAACAAATTAACTTATCATATTTTTGATGATTATAATAATGATAATTATAATGTGCCAATGTTTAAGGTTATATACAAACACTACTTATTGTTAGGTGATTCATAATTTATAAACTTTTATAGTTACTGCCTAAAATAAATAACTGATCATTTAAGCAAAAAAAGTTTGCTCCTAGTTTTATTTCCATTTTATTATATAAATACCTAAATGAATACCTAAAGGCATGTGTAAAATTTATACAGGCCAAATCAACCAACACGCCTATATAGAAACTCTAAAATTGTTTCATTCATCATCATGATGGAATCATGATGATGAATGAAACAAATGGTAAAGTTTTATCACCAGTTTTATTGTCATTTTTTAACTGCAATCAAATCTATTTGATAGCTTAGATGGACATAAAACTAATCAAGGACTGAATAAAATCCATAGTAATCCTGTTAACATTTTTTTTTTTTTTAGATTATTATAAGAAATAAAGTAACCTTAAATTATTGTCTCCACAGTTCTGCAAATACTGTTTTCTATCATTTTCAAATAAAACATCAGCTGTAATAAATTCGGCTGGTATAGCAACAACTCGCTCCTAAAAAATAAATTCATGATTTAAGTTAAATTATTAAGAAATCAAGTTAATTTTCAAAATATTAGGATTTTAATTTAAGTATTTTTATGCATTGACATAGCAATGTACATGCTTAAGCACACTGCAATGTCAATACATAAAAATGCAAATTTTTTCTTCTAAGTAAATTAATTTAAAAATTTTTTATTATTTTTTTACTTAATTAATTCATTTGCTTATTTTGCATAACCATTTTGATCAAAATTTGTCTAATAGATAAACTTACAATTTATTGTAATATTGAGTTATTAGTATTACAATTTTTTTAACATTACTACTTAAAGTTAACTAACCAGGAGTAGGAAAGTACTTGTAAATGATGATGTAATTGCAACATCATAAGTGCCAGCTTGCAGATTGTAAACTTGAGAAGATTCATTTGCAAAAAAAGTTCCATAGCATTCTTTATCTGAACACAAATTTATGTCTGCATACGGTTTAATGCCAAATACAACTTCTTTTGTTGAAAATTTTTTCAATTCTATAAATAGTTTCACTTGTACATTGCTACTTAGTGTATAACCTACACGAAGGTAATATAAGGAGTCTTGAGGAATAACAAGAGTTGTTTGGAGAGATGACTAAATAAAAATAAAAATACATAATTATAAAAAATTAACAAAAAAAAATTTAATTATTAACTTTTAATTGTTTAAACTCTTTAAACAACTTTAAAAACAATAATAACTTGTCAGAAATTTAAAAAATTAACAAACCTGTGGGTTAGTGTACAGATTTCTTACTCCTTGGATGTAATATAGATCAGGGAAGTAATAACCTTGCTCCACTCTAAGTTAATTATATATATATATATATATATATATATATATATATATATATATATATATATATATGCAATATAGTAATAATCATAAATTAATAAACTAAATACAGTAATGTAGTAAATTTTCAAATTTATATTGTTTAGAATTTTATCTAGCTAATTACTTACTCTTTACATTGTCGGCCTGTAGTATGAGCCCGACATGAACACACACCTGTAACTTTATCACAAATATACGGACTTAATGATGCTCCTGCGTCGCAGTCACACCCTGTAGTGTAATTGTAAAATAAATTAATTATATAAAAACTATAAAAAAACTGATTAGTTTTCAAAAACTTCATATAAAAGATGACAAATAACAAATATAAAAAAATAATAATAAAATATAAACTAAAAAACTGTCAAACTAAAATATTTAAGGCATAGCTCTAAAGTTAATAACTATTTTTCTGTTTGCTCTATTATTTTTTTGAAAAAATAATAGAGCAAACAGAAAATCAAGGAAGTATTGCATAATCACTTGATGCAACACAATTCAGATTTCAAAGTATATTAAAAAAAGATAGCCTATTAAATCAACACAACGACTGAATATTGACCAAATCCCACTCTGTTTCAAAAACCCAGTTTAGGGTTGAAAAAACAACAGCATTTAGTAAGTGCTGCTGACTTTTGACAACTACTTGATGCAGGATACATTGTCACTTATAAATCATTAATTGCCATTAAACATAAAAAATGGCTGAATACAGATAATTGTTCAGACAAAAGATTTAGTTTTAAAAGTTCCTAAACATTAAAAGAGCAACAAATTTTGATTACAGATTGGTCAGGGGTTTGAAAAAACTTTAGACTCAGTATGATAAGCAAAACAGACCAAAAATTACCAATGAATGGATGCTTAATCACTTTCGATATCTCAAATTTTTTCATTAAACCAAAAGACTTTGATAATTACAGTAAACCTCTGCCATTGATCAACACACAATGAACCATAATTATTAACATATGGAGATAAATGATGTTATCAATAAACATGTTAATGAAACTTTTTTGATCTTGAATAAGATATGAAAATAATAATCTAGATCCAATTGATAATGTTTGTATTGTTATTAAATTTTTTGATTATTACCTTATAAAAATGTTCATCTACATTTAAAAAATTCTAGCTCATAATTTTAGTCAACATTTTATGCTTATACATTTTACCTATAAGACCCAAGTTTTTTCAATAAATATTTAAATAATCATTTTGTCAATCAATTATTCTTTAAATAAGCATACTGTGAATCTCTTTATGCTTTTTACATAAACGCAACAGAGCTTATTCTGAGTTTTGAATTTAAAAACAGCATGCATCTTAAAATAACAACACACTTTTTTTCAATTATGCCCATACTTAATTTTTAACAAGGATATGATTTTATTTTTAACAATATTATTTTGTTTTATGAAATCATTTTTCGTTCAGTCTTTACCTCCTAATGTAAATGATATAAAAAAAATGTCATAAGTTATTTTAAAAATAACTTATGGCATTTTGCCATATTATTTTCACATTTATTAAATGCGAAAATGTTATACATCTCTTAAATGATTTAACAGGTATGACATTTAACTTAAATGTCATACCTGTTAAATGATGTATAAATAGTATGATTTAATTAAAAGTATTTAAATTAAATATTAAATTTTAATATTTTAAAAAGATTTTTAAATATTTAATTCCTATTAAAACTAGGAATAAATTTTATTAAAAAATTTATGTGAGTGGACAATATAATTATTAGAATCTATGAAAAAAGAGCATTAAAAACAATTGATTGATTTTTCTTTTTTTTCAATAATGCCCTATTTGTTTATATGCTTACAACAATTTTATTGTGGTTAGTGAATGTTACTATGACTTATAATGATTTATTTTGTTGCATTAAAATAATCAGGTTAGGGTTGAAAATTTCCCGGAAATTTTGAAGTCGGGAAAATTTCCGGAAAATTTCCGGAAATTTTGGAAATTTTAGCAATTTTCAAACTTGTTAAAAAAAAAAATTTCAGGGCTTCTCTGATTATTTTTATATGTTTACCATAATTTTACTGTTTTAATAAAGAAGGTTTATATAAATAAACTAATAAATTTCAGAAATAAATACCTAAGTATTCACTAATAATATTAGTAAGTAGTTCTAAAGTAAATCTAATGGTAAAAATAATAATTACAACAACAACAATTATTATAACAATGATGATGATGATGATGATGATGATGATGATGATGATGATGATGATGATGATGATGATGATGATGATGATGATGATGATGATGATGATGATGATGATGATGATGATGATGATGATGATGATGATGATGATGATGATTATAAAAATATGATTATAAATTAAAATACTAACAGCTTTTTTAAATAAAATAGATAAGTAAATAACTTATTTACTTATTTATTTTATACAATATTATGAATTGGTAAAAGTGCAATATTTTTAATTTTTTGGTCTATTACTTTATAGTATTTTAAGTAGTATTAAAACTTTATAATATTATAGATGCATAACTTTATAGTATCTGAAATGATTGCAACACAAACATTCCTTTTTGACATTTTTTAATGATTTATATAAAGCTGTCAACCTAAACCCAAGAATAGGTGATACAAGAGAAACAACAAATAACTTGCCATTATATATGTTATATAATTAAATAAGTTTTTTACTCTTTTTGAAATAATAACAATAAAAATATTACAAAAATACTTAATAGGTATATTAGTACTATAGCTATAATGATAATAATAAATTAGTGTTGAATATAAATTATTTATTAGATTTGCAGTCGGTATAAACTGCTTTTCTAAACTAAGTAAACATTTTAAATTATTCTCATTTATTTTTGTACTGTAAAAATTTTTTTAGCAACAATTATGTCTAGAGAATTAGATCAAGTCTGGAATGGTCACTTTAAAAAAAAAATATGTCAATATGGGAAAACAGCATTTATTTGCACATATTGCAATGCAAAATTTTGCACACAAAACTCTACACGAGCTAAAAAACATTAGTTACAGATTGTACTAAATCTCCAAAAGCTGTAAAAAAAAAGTTTGAAACAGATGTTATGAAACAAAGTTTTGCTCCTAAAACAAAAAACGGAATATTATTAGTTAAATCTTTAATTGAACTCAACACAAATACAACAAATAATGAGGTGTGTCAGATTTAATATTAGAAAATGATTGTTTTATTGATTGCTGTGACAACAATTATGCCATCTTTAAGAGAAAGTCAGGAACCAGTTCCACAATGAATGTGGCTAATAACGAATTACATTCTGATTTACAAGAATGTTCTTTATCAAATATTTTAGAAGAAAAAAAGGCTTTCTGTTCAACTTCTATATATTCTAGCAATCAAAAATCAATATCATATTTTTTTGATAAAGTTTCAACACAAGAGTGTGATGAAATAAATATACAATATGCAAGAGCAATTTATGCAACAGCCAGCCCTTTCAGAATGTCGGAAAATCCATTCTGGACTAATTTTTTTAAAAAGATTTGACCAGGTTGGTCACCTCCCAATCGTTATGCCCTGAGTCATAATCTTTTAGAGACAGTATATAACCAAGTAAATAAATTCATATAAGATTTAATATCCCAGTCAGAAACTTTTGTTCTGATGACAGATGGTTGGTCTTGTATAAGTAATGATTCACATATACAGATTATGTTAGCTACTCCAACTCCAATATACATCAGAAGTATTCATCCAAAAGAAAACTCCCACACTGGACAATACATATTCAATCAAATTGTTGAGATTATTTAAGATAAAAATGGTATATCAAACAAAAGAAAAATAAAAGCTTTTTGCACTGACAATGCAGCTAACATGGTAGCAGTTTGGAAATTAATAGAAAATAAATATGATTGGATGTCAGCATATGGCTGTTTTTCTCATGGCCTAAATTTATTAGCTTGTGATCTTGCAAATAAGAACATAATAATTTCGGAAACACTGAAGCAAAATAAACAACTAGTTTAGTTTTTTAAAAGTAAGCACAGTCTAAAAAGTATTTTTGAGCGTTGTAGCCTACACTCCTTGAGTAAAAGTTTTATTTTAATTTTTCCTGTAGTAACAAGATGGTCATCACAATTTTATATGTTACAACGCAATATTCTACTTCGTGATTCATTACGACTGGCAGTAACTGATGAAAAAGCACAAAAGTATCTTGACAAACATAATAATAAAAAAAGAATTGACTTAAAGGAATTAGTATTGAATGAAACCTTTTGGAAAAAGACGGATTTAATTTTCAAACTTCTGAAACCTGTATCAGAAGCCATTTTGGAATCAGAGAGTGATGCAGCGTCAGTATCTATTGTTCCACAAGTCTTTTTTTATGTAATAACTGAGATATCTGATGTGTTGCAAAACTCAACACTTTTGACTTTACATCAATAAGAGGATATCATTACTTGCATTAAAAAGCGTGAAGACTTTGTTGTAAGACCGATACACTTTGCAGCAAATTTACTTGATCCAAGATTTGTTGGTCAAAAGTTAAATCATTCAGAAATGCTTTTAGCTGAGCAGCATGTATTCAGAACAGCTGAAAATGAAACACTAGCCACTGATATAATATTGGATGAATTAATGAGTTTCAAAGCTCGTAGTGGAATATTTAGCCAGGATAATCGCAGCTATATTTGGAAGCTTAATGAAGATTGTAATCCAGTCACATGGTGGAAAGCATATGCACCAACAACATTATTGAATAGAATTGCATTAATATTATTGTCTTGTAACTGCAGCATTGCATCTGTTGAGCGTGCAAACAAAGAGTTTTCATTGCAAAAATCTAAAGTAAGAAATCGCCTAACCGATACAAGAGCATCAAAGCTTTTATTTATTGCTTATAATTTGAAAATGCAGAATAAATTGGCTAAACGTAATTCTAAAAAGATAAAACATTCATGTTTAAAAACAAAAAACATTGATGAAAAAAGCCAAAAAAATCACAGCTGCTTATCAATCGATAATGATGATGATGATGATTATGATGATAACGAATACGATAGTGAGTATTCAAGTGAAGATAGTATTGACTTTCACATACTATGAAAATGGCTAAGCATTAACGTTTGCAAAAACATGCTATTTTTTTATAATAGTCTAGTTGGGGAGTTTAAATAAAATATATATATAAAATTATTTTTATTTTTTTATTTATTAGTTAAAAACCCACTATAC